AGAAATTAGGATAGCAATGAACAAGGAGGTTTAGGAAAGGTAGGGGGTGTGTGGACCAGGTGTTTACAGTGAAAACATATAAGTATTTAATAAGGCTAAAGAGGCTCTTTGTGGCATTTATGGAATTTGGAAAAGGCATATGACAGGTTGGATAGGGGGGCAATTGGCAGATGTTGCAGGTGTATGGTGTAGGAGGTAGGTTTGAAAGCAGTGAAGAGTTTTACGAGGAAGTGAGGCTCAAGTTAGTATGTAGGAAAGAGGGAAATTATTTCCCAGTAACAAGTAGGCCTTAGACAAGGATGTGTGATGTCACCGTGGTTGTTTAATATATTTATAGATGGGGTTGTAAGAGAAGTAAATGCGAGGGTCTTGGCAAGAGGCGTGGAGTTAAAAGATAAAGAATAACACAAAGTGGGAGTTGTCACAGTTGCTCTTTGCTGATGACACTGTGCTTTTGGGAGATTCTGAAGAGAAGTTGCAGAGATTGGTGGATGAATTTGGTAGGGTGTGCAAAAGAAGAAAATTGAAAGTGAATACAGGAAAGAGTAGGTTATGAGGATAACAAAAAAATTAGGTGATGAAAAGATTGGATATCAGATTGGAGGGAGAGAGTATGGAGGGGTGAATGTATTTAGATATTTGGGGAAATGGACGTGTCAGCGGATGGGTCTATGAAAGTTGAGGTGAATCATAGAATTGTGAGGGGAAAAGGGTGAGTGGTTGCACTTAGGAGTCTGTGGAGACAAAGAACTTTGTCCTTGGAGGCAGAGAGAGGAAAAGTATGAGAGTATAGTTTTACCCAAAGCTCTTTATGGGTGTGAAGCATGGGTGATGAATGTTTCAGCGAGGAGAAGGCTGGAGGCAGTGGAGATGTCCATGTTGAGAGCAATGTGTGTGTGAATATAATGCAGAGGAATTCGTAGTTTGGAAGTTAGGAGGAGGTGCGGGATTGCCAAAACTGTTGTCCAGAGGGCTGAGGAAGGGTTGTTGGGGTGGTTCGGACATGTGGAGAGAGGAGCGAAACAGAATAACTTCAAGAGTGATCAGTCGTAGTGTAAGGAAGGCGGGGTAGGGGTCGGCCTAGGAAAGGTTGGAGGAGGGGGTAAAGGAAGGTTTTGTGTGCGAGGGGCTTGGACTTCCAGCAGGCATGCCGTGAGCGTGTTTTGGGCAGGAGTGAATGGAGACAATGGTTTTTAATATTGACGTGCTGTTGGAGTGTGAGCAAAGTAACATTTATGAAGGGGTTCAGGGAAACCGGCAGCCGGACTTGAGTCCTGGAGATGGGAAGTACCGTGTCTGCACTCTGAAGGGGGGGGTGTTAATGTTGCAGTTTAAAAACTGAAGTGTAAAGCACCTTTCTGGCAAGACAGTGATAGAGTGAATGATGGTGAAAGTTTTTTTTTTTTGGGCCCCCCCTGCTTGGTTGGGAAGGCCGTGTTAAATATATTTTATATATTTATATATATATATATATTTATATATATATATATATATATTTATATATATAATTTATATATTATATTTTATAAAATTTTAATATTATTTTTTAAATTTTTATAATAAAATAATTATATTTATATATATATATATATTATATTTATAAAAATTTTTAAAAATATATATATATAATATTTATATTTATAAAATATATATAATATATATATAATTATATATTTATATATTATATATACAAAAAATTATATATTATATATATTACAATATTATTTATATAATTTAAAATTTTTTAGATATATTATATACATATTTATATATTTTTATATATATATATTTTTTTTTCAACAAAGTCGGTGTCCCCACCCAGGCGGGGGGACCCAAAAAAAAAAAAAAATCCCCAAAAAAAATACTTTCATCATATTCAACACTTTCACCAACTCACACTTTTTTCCTGCTTTTTCAGAGGTGCTCAGAATACAACAGGTTGAAGATATAGTATAAAAACAAAAATCCCCAAACTGCCCAAAATCCCCAAAACCCCTCCCTTAAAGTGCAGGTTGTATTCCCATTTCCAGGTCAAGTCCGACATATGAAAATAAGGTTTCCCGAATCCCTTCACTAAATATTACCCTGCTCACACTCCAACAGATCGTCAGGTCCCAAGTATCATTTCGTCTCCATTCACTCCTACTAAACCACGCTCATGCACGCTTGTTTGAAAGTCCAAGCCCCTCGCCCCCCAAAACCTCCTTTATATATATATTTATATATATATAATATATATATATATATATTATATATATATATATATATAATTAGATATTATATATATATTTTTTATATATATATATATTTATATTATTTATTATATAATATATATATATATATATATATTATAATTTATATATATATATTATATATATATATTATATATATATATACAGTGGCCCCCCGCATAGCGAACTTAATCCGTGCAGAGGGCTGTTCGTTTGCGAAATGTTCGCTATGCGAATTAATTTTTCCCCTTTAAAAAAATAATGGAAATAAAATTAATCCGTGAAAGACACCCAAAAGTATGAAAAAAAAAAAATTTTTTTAAAACAAAAAAATGTTAATTTGTAAACCCACAAACCTGAAAAAGGCATGCACAATTATGACACTTATTTTATTGAAGATCTGGTGATGATTGATGGGATGGGAGGAGGGGAGAGAGAGTGTTAGTGTTTAGAAGGGGAAACCCCCCTTCCATTAGGACTTAAGAGCAAGTCCTTTTTGGGTATGACTTTCCTAAAGTGTTTCAAAACAGTGTCATTGTAATAGTCACCAGCCGGCTTGCAATAGCTGTTGTGAGGGTGATTTTCATCAAAAAAGGTTTGCACTTCAAGCCATTTTGAAACACATTTCCCTTTAAATCTTTGAAGTAGGCAATTCCTTCAATTTCTCTCTCCCTCCTCTGAACAGTTTCCCCAGGTCTGGCTCTTGCTCTTAAAGTTGATCTATCAGCTCATCAGGGGTTTTAGTTCTTCATTGTCCTCCTCCACCAACTCTTCCACATCCTCCCCACTAACCTCCAACCCCAAGGACTTCCCCAATGCCACAATGGATTCTCAACTGGTTACTACTCCTCTCAGGGTTAGCCTAAAAACCCTTCAAAATCCCTTTTGTCTACACATTCTGGCCCAGTTTCTTCCAAGCAGAGTTCAAGGTTCTCTTAGTCACTCCCTCCCAAGCCTTACCTAAAAGGTTTACACAACTGAGGATTTTTTAAAAGTGATCCTTCCAAAACTCTTTTAGAGTCAATCCAGTGTCTGTGGTCACTTCAAAGCACTTTTGAAACAGAGCTTTTGTGTACAGTTTCTTGAAGTTGGAAATGACCTGCTGGTCCATGGGCTGCAGGAGAGGAGTGGTATTAGGAGGCAAAAACTTCACCTTAATGAAGCTCATGTCCCCATAAAGTCGCTCTGCCCCGTCTGTAGGATGACCAGGGGGATTGTCTAACACCAGGAGGCACTTAAGGTCTAATTTCTTTTGAGTTAGGTAATCTTTCACATTGGGGGCAAATGCATGGTGTAACCAGTTATAGAAAAATTCCCTAGTGACCCATGCCTTACTGTTTGCCCCCCACAGCACACACAAATTATCCTTGAGGACATTTTTTTTGCCTGAACGCTCTGGAGTTTCAGAGTGAACACTAATAAAGGCTTAAACTTTGCAATACCCTAGCATTGGCACACATCAACAAAGTAAGCCTGTCTTTCATAGGCTTATGTCCTGGGAGTGCCTTTTCCTCCTGAGTAATTGTAGGTCCCGCTTGGCATTTTCTTCCAGAAACAGGCCCGTTTCATCCAATTAAACACTTGTTCAGGTTCCAGTCCTTCAGTTTCTATGTACTCCTTGGGAATTTATTTCACATATTTTTCAGCCGCTTTGTGGTCCGAACTGGGAGCCTCACCATGCCGTTTTCACACTATGGATGCCACTACGCTTCTTAAATCTCTCAAACCAACCTTTGCTGGCCTTAAATTCACTCACATCATCACTAGTTGCAGGCATTTTTTTAATTAAATCGTCATGAACTTCCTAGCCTTTTCACATATGATCGCTTGAGGGGATGCTATCTCCTGCTATCTGTTTCTCATTTATCCACACCAATAAGAGTCTCTCAACATCTTCCATCACTTGCGTCTTTGTTTCGAAAACACAGTTAAACCTTTGGCAACAAAAAGCTTCCTTGATTGCCGTTTTCTTGCCCACAATAGAACCGATGGTTGATTTTGGGGTTTTTTGTACAACCTGACCAGGTCGGTGTACGTACTCCCCTTTCATACTTATCAATGATTTCTTTCTTAAGTTCAATGGGTATTCTTACCCTTTGGGTGTAGGGTTGGCAACTGAAGCTTTTTGGGGCCCATGGTCACTTATTTTCCACAAAACAGCACCGAAAACACTGTAATAATACGAAATATTCCGAGTGTATGCTTGAATGTTACCGCGGAGGCTACTGGTAAACAATGGGAAAGGGCGGCACATGTGAGGCTGGGTGAGGGCCCAAAACTGGACGCGTCTCGGACGAAGTTCGCTGAGCGGGTTTTTGTCTACTATGCGGGCCAAAATTTTAGCGAACAAAGCGTTCGCTATGCGGAATGTTCGCCTATGCAAGCCGTTCGCTATGCGGGGGTCCACTGTATATATATATTTTTATATATATATATATTTATATTATATAAAATATATATTGATATTAATTTATATATATATATATTAGTATTATATATTATATATTAAAATTTTATATATATAGTATTATATTATATATATTTATATATTATATATATATTAATATTATTTATATATATATATATATATATATTTATATATATATATATATATTATTATATAATTTTTTTTTTCTTTCTTTCAATGTACCAGCCCTTTTCCCACTGAGGTGGGGTGGCCCCCCCCCCCAAAAAAAAAAAAATAATAATTTTCTCTTTTTAAATTTAGTAATATATACAGGAGAAGGGGTCACTAGCCCCTTTCTCACGTCATTTTAGTCGCCTCTTACAACACGCATGGCTTACGGAGGAAGAATTCTGTTCCACTTCCCCATGGAGGTAAGAGGAAATAAACAAGAACAAGAACTAGAAAGAAAATAGAAGAAAACCCAGAGGGGTGTGTGTGTATATATATGCTTGTACATGTATGTGTAGTGTGACCTAAATGCAAGTAGAAGTAGCAAGACATACCTGAAATCTTGCATGTTTATGAGACAGACAAAAGACACCAGCAATCCTACCATCATGTAAAACAATTACAGGTTTTCGTTGTACACTCACTTGGCAGGACGGTAGTACCTCCCTGGGCGGCTGCTGTTTACCAACCTACTACCTAGATCCACTGTATATAAAGTGGTCCCTCGTTTTTCGTGGTTCTCGGGAATCATAGATTTCGGAAATCATAGGGATATTTTCGTATAAACATGGGCTCGCTAATCATAGGTTGACTCGCGAATAGTAGTTCGTCCGGGATGCGTACGCACGGTGTGTGCCGGGGCGGCCTCCCTACCCAGCCAGTCTGGCATTGTTTACCAGTGAGCGAAGGTCCCCTCACGTGCTCCTACGAAATATTTCATAATATTCCACTCATTTTAGTGTTTGCAAGTACTAATTAAGCTACATGGCTCCAAAGAAAGCTCCTAGTGCCAAGCCTCTGGTAAAGAAGAGCTCACCACTGAGGAGCTGCAAGAGCTTCAGCAGGAACAGCAGCAGATCGCAGCTCAGAATCTTGCTGCAGAGGAGGAGGAAGAGAGATGGAAGAAGGTGCCTTCTTCAGAAATTAAAGAGATTTTTGCTATGTAGGGTAAGATGGAAAGCTTTATGGAGAAACATCACCCTGACAAGGTTGTTGCAAGCCATGTTGGCAACATGTACAGTGACAAAGTCTTGGGCCATTTTAGGGAAGTGTTAAAGAGACGCCAGAAACAGAGCTCTCGCCACAGTTATTTTGCGAGACAGGACTCCAGTGACTCTCAAGGTGGTCCTAGTGGCATTAAGAAACAGAGAAGAGAAGCAACCCCAGAAAAGCAATTGGTACCTGAGGTGTTGCTGGAAGGAGATTCCCCTTCCAAACTGTAAACAATCCAATCTCTCTCCTCCTCCAGTCTCCCATACACTAAGAAGAATCTCTAATAAAGGTAAGTGTTATGCTGTTAATGTTTCATTCATCATTTCCCATTGTATTGCTTATGTACTACATCTATATTTCATGTAAAAAATTTTTTTGTTTTAATACTTCTGGGAGTCAGGAACGGATTAATTGTATTTACATTATTTCTTATGGGGAAAATTGATTCGAAAATCGTAGATTTCGATAATAGTAGCAACTCCATGAACTAATTAACTATGAAAAACGTGGGACCACTGTATATATATATAATAGATAGTAGGCTGGTAGACAGCAACCACCCAGGGAGGTATTACCGTCCTGCCAAGTGAGTGTAAAACGGAAGCCTGTAATTGTTTTACACAATGGTAGGATTGCTGGCGTCTTTTTATTCTATCTCATACACATGCAAGATTTCAGGTACATCTTGCTACTTCTACTTACACTTAAGTCACACTACACATACATGTACAAGCATATATATACACACCCCTCTGGGTTTATTTCTATTTTCTTTCTAGTTCTTGTTCTTGTTTATTTCTTACCTCCATGGGGAAGTGTAACAGAATTCTTCCTCCGTAAGCCATGCGTGTTGTAAGAGGCGACTAAAATGCCGGGAGCAAGGGGCTAGTAACCTCTTCTCCTGTATATATTACTAAATTTAAAAAGAGAAACTTTCGTTTTTCTTTTTGGGCCACCCTGCCTCGGTGGGATACGGCCGGTTTGTTGAAAGAAAAAGATACATATATATATATAATGTGTTTGCTAATACATGTATAGCTGGGCAGTGGGCACACAATATTGTGGTTGATACAGTATACAGCATTTATATTTGTACCCTAACTAATCTCATATAAACTAAATAAGCTGCAATGAAAATAAAAGACAAACCATGCATTATCTGCTGACAACATTAAGTATATGTCTCGGATACTAGTAAAGCATTATATTTTCCAGCTCTACTTGAAGGTAATGAAAAATGATCACAAAACAACTCTCACCTCTCAAAGTCGAGGTAAGAAGAGTCATATCCTGTGTGCAGAAGGGCAAGCATAAACTCGAAACTTGTAACAAAAAATGGATAACTACCAGTACAACAAAGCAAATGTAGCTCAGAATAAAAAATGTTTTAATATCTTATTCTAAACAAGTGCAAACACTGAAGGTAACACTTAATAAAATTAACACGCACTCTTGACCACCCCACAAGAACTCAGAGATATAATAACTGAATTTTCTAGACAAGAAAGACAACTTAAAACAAACTGAGGGTGAAAATGTACTCACTGATGAGAAATTGAGATAATCTAATTTTTAACATGAAAATGAGAAACAAAAGCATATCAATCAGATATAAGTGAATTATACACCACATTTCTTCAGTGTTAGGGTGGCAAGGCAGTGGAATGAACTAGATGAGGAATTATTGGAGACTAACTCCATTCACAGTGTGAAGAATAGGTATCACTGAGTTTGGAACCAACAGAGTCAGTTTGCAGTATGACTGTGTTAGGAAGTAACAGACAGTTTGTGGTAAGAGGTGAGCCAGTACTATTTTCCAGAAACAGAGAAAGCATATCTTTCTCTATTTCTGGAAAATGCATTCCAAGAGTTAAAAATATTAAACATGAAGAAATATAGAAAACAATGGAAACGCCCTCACTGGAAGACAAGAGTAAAAGTGGAAATATTACAATATCAGAAAAGGGCTCGATTCAAGGAATTGGACCTATCCTCCCATTCCTTGAATCAAAGCTGATTACTTAAAATTCCTTGTTGCCATAAGACCCCTACGGATTTAGTGCTTACTCATGATATGTCATGAATGTACATAAAATATATGAGAAAACAGAGACTTCAATGAACAGGAAGAGCATATTGCCCATAATTACAATTTACAAAAAATGTAGTGCAGAAAGGCAACTAGACATAATGTCTTCTCGCAAACAGTGACAGAGATCTGAAATGGGATCCAAGAGGAGGTAGCGAGTGTTACATCTACAGGAAATTAAAGTTCTTGACATTATGTAAATCTGACACAATGTGAAGGTTATGGCATTTTATTTATAAAAACTTTTGCACACCAGGGACTTTATTAGACAAATTAAGAGCGTTCCTGGCAAATGAAATAAAATTCAATAACCCACCCACACACTGTCTTATTTACATACTGTCTGTATATTCTGTCATTGTGTTACCATTTTATGACAAACTCACTACTAATGAGACTGGGACATGAGAAGCACAGCTTTGCTCCTGTAGCTACAAAAGAGATGCTCACAAATAGGTAATCTCTCATATACACACTCAGATATAAACACACACACACAATTATAAAAATTAAATAATATTTATGCATTAAAATCAACAAATGGATTGCCACATCTTATTTCTATTGTGTAACCACCAGTAGGTGGTTTAACGAACATAGAAAATTGTACACACATACTAATTCAATTTTCACATAAAACCACAAAGTCATTATTACAGAGTATACACAAGGCATGGAATATATGTTTCTTTTCACAGAATGCATGGAATTCATCAGATTGTAGGAAGCACAGCCCTGACCCAAGATATAAGTAAGAATGACATAGCCTTAACACATGAGAGCTACAGATGCCATGGTGAGGGTGCCAAACAAAAGACAGAGAAGCTGTGCACATGATTGAGCAGGACGATCTTCTTGCAGCAGCTCCGGTAGAACTGTCACCAATGCTATGTTGAGGAAGCCTCCTGCTGTGAATGACAAAATGTAGACCTGCACCCCACCTGCAAAAATAAAATATTTACATTACACTACATACTAAGGTATTATTAAAGTTCAAAATGAAATATGTGATGGTAGACCTACATCCCATCCCAGCCTTTCTGAGGAGGCAGGTAAAGTGATGATGGTCAATGTTTTGTACTTGGCATATAATATCTACAAGGAAAACAGCTGACCAGTTTAAACCACACAATCATCTCACTCAATTAGAAGTCTCTCAAAATTAGAATTAAAATTTTAGTTTCCTAATAATCTCTGCAATTCAAAAATTTCTGCAAGAGGGATCATTTAAATTGGTGATTGGTAGTGCAAGGTGCTGGCTAAGTTCCTCCCACTTAGACACCCCAAGTCCCTCCTGGATCTAACTTATAATACTAGGTCCCTCTTATAATACTCTAGGTCCTGCTGGGTGACACAGGATTTACCATCTCTAAAGATGTGTTGGTTGTCATGCATAAACCCAGTCCTTTATAGGTGCTCCACCACTCTTCTCCATAACTTTACATACTATATATGTCAGTGACATTGGTATGTAGTTTAATGCTACCTGTCTGCCTGCCATCTTAAAAATTAGAGCTACATTTGCTGTCTTCCACACCTCCAGTAATTCCCCTGAGTTGATAGACTTGTTGAAGATTATTGCTAGAGAGACACACGGTACCTCTGCTCCCTCAGGACCCAAGGAGTGATTATCTGGTCCCACTGCCTTCAAGGTATCTAGCTCATATAATATCTTCTTCATCTTCTCCCCAGTTGTACGTCCGGTATCAAACGCTTGCTGGTGCACTCTACCACTTTGGTTTGCTAGTAGTCTTCCTGTCTCCTCTGAGAATATCTCCCTAAATCTCTTGCTGAACTCCTCACAGACTTCCTGGTGAGCTTCCCTCCTCCCTTCTTCAGCCTGATTACCTGGTCCTTTACTGTTGTCTTCCTCCTGATGTGGCTATATAACAATATTGGGTCAGGTTTGGCTTTCGATGCTATGTCATTCTCAAAATGCTGCTGGGCCTCCCTCCTTATCCATGCAAATTTGTTTCTGGCTCTCTGGCTCAACTCCTTGTTTTATGATTTCTTTGCCTTTAATATTCTGTTCATGCTTTGGCACAGTTAACTTTGGCCTCTTTACACCTCTGGGTAAACCATGGTCTTACTCTGTTCTTCCTATTGTTTCAATTTCTCCTCTGCCTCTCTGCACTTTCTTGCTACATACTGCATCATCTCATCTCCTCTTCCTTTAGTTCCTCTTTGCACTGCACCTCATTCAGGAATTGTCTCATGCCTGTGTAGCCCCCTCTTTTGAAGTTTCGCTTTCGCATCTTTCCTGTGCTGCTCCTCTCTCTCCACTGTTACTTCCACAAGGTATTCACAGCTCAGGACTCTGTAGTCACTAGCAACGAGGAGGCTTTCATATGTAATATCCCTTATGTCAGAACCATTCAGGATGAATACAAGGTCCAGCCCTACTGATTCACCCTCTTCTTTCTCTTTGGTTGTCTCCCTAACACGCTGGTGGATGAAGTTCTCCATTACCACCTCTATGCTGTCTGTGGGTGTGGAAAGGATGGAGATGATATGGCTTGTTTTGGGTTATTGTGTTTGGGTGGAAGAGGGAGCACTTGAGGTGTGTTTGTGGGTATGCCTGGCAATCCTGTGAAGGCTGAGCTTCCAAGTTTGTTGATGCATGCACTCTCTCTCTCCTTCCTACCTCTGGCATCATTATATTCACTCTCAGTTGTTCCTTGTTCTATGCTGGTCGAGGTACACAAGCGGTATTGTTTATGAATGCCTTAACTGTGGTTTCCACTGCATGATCCTCTCCCACTCCATTACTGTTGTAAAAGTCAATCTGACTGGACGTATTTTTCCCCTCGAGTACTTTCTAAATCTTTGAAAATTTGTCACCTGGGACACTTCAGCCTTTCTGCCTGTTAGGATGATTCATTTGTGCATGTGTGTGTGTGTTTGTGTATGTGTGCACATGCATGCACACATGTGCATGGGAAAATTGAAAAATCCTTATACAGCGGACCCCCGGTTTGTAATATTAATCCGTTCCTGAGAGCTCATCATAAACCAAAATTATCGGAAAGCGAATAAATTTTCCCCATAAGAAATAATGGAAATCAAATTAATCCGTGCAAGACACCCAAAAGTATGAAAAAAAAACTTTTACCACATGAAATATTAAGTTTAATGCACACAAACTGAAGAAGACATGCACAGTTTGTAGTATGTACTCTACTAACAATAGAATACATGACACTTACCTTTAATGAAGATCTGGTGATGATTGATGGGATGGGAGGAGGGGAGAGTGTCGAACCTATTGTTTAGAAGGGGAATCCCCTTCCAGTAGGACTTGAGGTCGCAAACCCTTTTCTAGGGTTACTTCCCTTCTTCTTTTAATGCCACTAGGACCAGCTTGAGAGTCACTGGACTTCTGTCGCACAACATATCTGTCCATAGAGGCCTGTACCTCTCGTTCCTGTATGACTTTCCTAAAGTGTTTCACAACAGTGTCAGTGTACAGGTTGCCAACATAGCTTGCAGTAGCTGTGTGAGGATGATTTTCATCAAAAAAGCTTTGCACATCAAGCCACTTTGCACACATTTCCTTAATCTTTGAAGTAGGCAACTTCTTCAATTTCTCTATCCCCTCCTCCGAAGCAGTTTCCTCAGGTCTGGCCTCTTGCTGTGGAAGATGATCTAGCAGCTCATCAGTGGTTAGTTCGTCATTGTCCTCCTCCACCAACTCTTCCACATCCTCCCCATTAACCTCCAACCCCAAGGACTTCCCCAATGCCACAATGGATTCCTCAACTGGCATAGGATTCCCAGGGTTAGCCTCAAACCCTTCGAAATCCCTTTTGTCTACACATTCTGGCCACAGTTTTTTCCAGTCAGAGTTCAAGGTCCTCTTAGTCACTCCCTCCCAAGCCTTACCTATAAGGTTTACACAATTGAGGATATTAAAGTGATCCTTCCAAAACTCCTTTAGAGTCAATAGAGTGTCTGTGGTCACTTCAGAGCACCTTTCAAACATAGCTTTTGTGTACAGTTTCTTGAAGTTGGAAATGACCTGCTGGTCCATGGGCTGCATGAGAGGAGTGGTATTAGGAGGCAAAAACATGACCTTAAATGAAGTTCATGTCCCCAGAAAGTCGGTCTGCCAAGTCTGTAGGATGACCAGGGGCATTGTCTAATACCAGGAGGCACTTAAGGTCTAATTTCTTTTCAATTAGGTAATTTTTCACATTGGGGGCAAATGCATGGTGTAACTAGTCATAGAAAAAGTCCCTAGTGACCCATGCCTTAGTGTTTGCCCTCCACAGCACACACAAATTAGCCTTGAGGATATTCTTTTGCCTGAATGCTCTGGGAGTTTCTGAGTGATACACCAATAAAGGCTTCACTTTGCAATCACCACTAGCATTGGCACACATCAGAAGAGTAAGCCTGTCTTTCATAAGCTTATGTCCTGGGAGTGCCTTTTCCTCCTGAGTAATGTAGGTCCTGCTTGGCAATTTCTTCCAAAACAGGCCTGTTTCGTCACAATTAAACACTTGTTCAGGTTTCAAGTCTTCACTGTCTATGTAATCCTTGAATTCCTTCACAAATTTTTCAGCTGCTTTTTGGTCCGAACTGGCAGCCTCACCATGCCTAATCACACTATGTATGCCACTACGATTCTTAAATCTTTCAAACCAACCTTTGCTGGCCTTAAATTCACTCACATCACCACTAGTTGCAGGCAATTTCTTTACCAAATCGTCATGCAACTGCCTAGCCTTTTCACAAATGATCGCTTGAGAGATGCTATCTCCTGCTATCCGTTTTTCATTTTTTTTTTTTTTTTTATTATCACACCGGCCGATTCCCACCAAGGCAGGGTGGCCCGAAAAAGAAAAACTTTCACCATCATTCACTCCATCACTGTCTTGCCAGAAGGGTGCTTTACACTACAGTTTTTAAACTGCAACATTAACACCCCTCCTTCAGAGTGCAGGCACTGTACTTCCCATCTCCAGAACTCAAGTCCGGCCTGCCGGTTTCCCTGAATCCCTTCATAAATGTTACTTTGCTCACACTCCAACAGCACGTCAAGTATTAAAAACCATTTGTCTCCATTCACTCCTATCAAACACGCTCACGCATGCCTGCTGGAAGTCCAATAACAGTCTCTCAACATTTTCTAACACTTGCGGTCGCTGTTTCGTAATCACAGTTGCACCTTTTGCAACAACAGCTTCCTTGATTGCCGTTTTCCTGGTCACTATAGTAGAGATGGTTGATTAGGGTTTTGTATACAACTTGGCCAGCTCTGACACACGCACTCCACTTTCGTACTTCGCAATTATCTCTTTCTTCATTTCAATAGTCATTAGCACCCTTGGTCTCGAAGGGTTGGCACTAGAAGCTTTCTTGGGGCCCATGGTGACTTATTTTGCAGTAACAAGCACCAAAAACACTGTGATAATATGGAATGTGCCAAATGTATCCTTAGATGCGAGCACACTGGCTGGCTTGTAAACACTGGCACACAAGGGGCAGTTCAGGCCACACATGGACACGTCTTGGACAAACCGCATATACCGGGTTTTGTAACGGGAAGCGAGGCAAAATTTTTGCGATACAATGCATCGAATACCGGATTTATCAGATACCGATGGCATCGTGAACCGGGGGTCCACTGTATACTGATTCATAAGATGACTCTCACCTCTTTTGATATGCCTATAATTTCCTTTCTTATGCCCTAAAAGATATTTGAGCCTTTTATTCATCCATTTTGGATCATTTCTGCTTGATCTAATTTCTTTATACAGGATAAATGTTCTTTGGGCAGCATGAATAGTGTTCAGAAAACTGTCATATTGATAGCTCTCTTCGTTACCCCAGTCAACAGATAAATGTTCTCTAAGCACATCGTAATCTGCTAAGCAAAAATCTGGGACTGTTACCGAGTTATCCCTACTATCATACTTCCATTCAATGCTAAATG